ATTATTATATATATATATATATATATATATATATATATATATATATATATATATATATATATATCCTTACAAAAATGTTTAACTGCAGACTAATCCCTGTTGATTAATTTAATTTAATTATTATAATAATATGAAGTATTTTAATCGTTTTTTTTGCTCAAATAATTAATGTTAGATATAATCCATTAGGATTAATTCGAATTTTCTTTTAAAAAAATATATTTTACGATTAATCATCTGATTATTAACTGAAACGCAGTTTATCTATTTTTTTTGACTCAGATAAATTAATTCCAATTAAAAATAGAAATGATTAATCTGAACTTTTGGACTTCTGTTATTATGGACAAGCCGAGACGAATAAGGCAGGAGATACTGCTTTAAGAAAGGGTTGACTTCACTCGTGTCTCGAGGCTTTCGAGTCATTATGCACAATGCAAAATGGGGATCGGTCTCAAGAACAACTGTCGTAAACGTCTGAAATCATTCCTGCAGGTACAGAGGTCAACGCATCATCTGAAGGAGCAGAAAAGAATGCTGCAATGCATCATCTGAAATCTAGCATGGTATATTATAGCCCCCAGATAACCTCAAATTTAGCAGTTAACATTAAGTAGGAAGCCATTCAAGAGATTTTAACAGTACTACCACCATGTCCAATGTAGTCACTATAAAGAATCTACATTTCGACGACAATTTTCCCGGTGGCGTGGCCACTCATGCTCTTGGCCCAGGCCTCCTCTGCCTTGGTCAACGGATGTGTCGAATCCACGATGGTCTTGAGCTTACCTTCCTGTGCCATGTCCACCAGAAACTTCATGTCCTCGGACTTGGGGCTTAGTAACAACGGCACCAGCTTCTTCTTCGAAAAGGTCAGCTTCTTGAGCATGGAGGTAGCCATGGTCTTGAGGGTGGGAGTTATGTCGATCACCTTCCCCTCGGTGCTCAGATTAGGCTCGAAAGTGGACCAGGAAATGTTGGTGGTGCAATGGATGACTGCATCGTACTTCTTGCCTGATGGGCTCCATAGCTTTGCACCTTCGGGAGTCTTGTAGTCGAGCACCTCATCCGCGCCCAGACTCTTTATGAGTTCGATGTTGCGGGCGCCGCAGGTGGCTGTGACATGGTGGCCTGCGTGCTTGGCGAGCTGCAGCGCGTAGTGCCCCACGCCACCGGAGGCTGCTGTGATCAGAATGTTAGATGGCTTGTCGGTGGCATCAAACTTGGTTCCGGCAGACTTCAGTGCCTGGAGAGCAGTCATGGCAGCTGTTGGTAGGCTTGCGGCTTCAGGGGGAGAGAGTTCAGGCGGCCTAGTCACCATTAGGCCGACAGGTGCCACAGCAAACTCGGCGAGCCCGCCACCATTCTGTCATAACAAATTATCGGAAGTCAAGAAAGAAAGAAAAAAAAGGGAAAAAAAAAACACAAGCATGATAATAATAGAGAAGGAGCAAAAGCTAATAGAGAATTTGCTGCAATTAGATAAGATCGACACAAAAGTCAACAAACCAATAAAAAGGTGTTATAATCTCAAGTCACCTTAACTAAAGTTTATAGCATCACAATCTCTCAGGTGGTTTCACAGTTTGATTTACCATCGCATTCATCTCATTGTAAGCAAAATTTATGTTTAATGAACTTCTCTACCTATGGAGTTTCCCAATCAACTAAATAAAGCATACATGAGATCAGGCATTAAGCTATTTCAAAGATTCCATTTTAATTTCTTTCACTAAAAGAAAACATTATGATGCACAAATAACATCGAGCACTTACAAAAAAGTTCAGCATGCCAACTACTTTGTCACCTTTCTTGAAGGCACTAACTTCAGGACCCAACTCAGCAACTTCTCCTGCTACATCAGCAACTGTTTCACAAAAATGAAGATGTCATCAAATAAATACAGTGATTTCACTTCACTGAAACATAATAAACCAGACATACTCGATAATCATGAGTTATTAAACACGAATTCGAAAAAAGAAAAGGTCTATCGGTTGGTTGATGCAAAGGAAACCAGATAATCCTACCTTGTCAATGCGCCTAAAAGCAAAACATGATATGCTAACAATAGTCTCGGTGTGTCTATTGCAGATGTTCATCCATATATTTACTAGCATAATAAGACATTTATGTATGGTGTATTTTGGCTAAAAACAACTTCAAGAAGCAACGAGAACAGGCAAAAAAAAAAAGAAGTTATGTAGACTACTCGAGTTTAACATGAACATTTCATATAAATTTGAACCAAAAACTGCAAAAGGACAATAAGTGCTGAGAAAATTGATTGATGATCTAAAGATTTTAGAAAACTAGCATGCATCATATCTATACAAGTTTACCAACGAGAAAAAAGGGAAATAGAAAAAGATCATATGCTTAAATAATTAGGTATTAAATTTATCAGAAACCATTTCTTTCTGCAATCATTGAGTTACAATGACAAAAAGGTTGCTCAAGAGATAACAGATCGCCTAGCACATTCAACATATGGGTGATGATAACACCGAAGTTCTCAACCACCGACGAATAATCTTCTCTATCATTTAGTGGTAGTTGCTTGCTTACCAGGTGTAAATGGAAACTTGGGTGGCAAAAATGGACGCAACATGCCAACCTGAATTTTCCAATCGATTGGGTTTATACTTGCTGCCTCCAACTTCAGCAAAATCTCATTTTTCTTTGGTGAAGGAATTGGAACCTCAACATGCTGCAGTGAGCATAATAATCAATCAAACAGAAAAAATAAACCAATTGTGGTAAAAGCACAACGATGTGATAGGTGAGTTTATAAATAACAGATCCAGATCAGGTTCCTACGAACCTCGATAATTTGACAAATTCTTGTAAATTTCAAAGTAATAGACCACATGTTTCACTAGGCAAAACAATAGCACAACAACAGTATGCAGGTCAAATAAGACTTCATGGAATCATAGAAATGTTCCTAGAGAAAAAATATATAAAAAAAATTAAATCAACAGAGGAGCATAAAATTTTGATCCGAAATACAATTATAGATCTCTTAATCCTTAAACCCAGAAGAAAATTCTGCGTTAGAAGTGGTTTTCAATCATCTGGAAAAAGCATGGTGACTGATTCCTAGATGAAGAAAGAGTAAAAAGAAAAGGAGCAGCACATACTTTGGTCAAAAAATAAATTACAATTCCGGAAAAATACAATTAAAGATAATTTTAACTCCTAAAATTCAGTTATTACGTAGGTTAGCAGAGATTTTTGTTCATATATAAAATATATATATATAATTTTAAATAGATTTGTCAAGAGGTGAATTTTAGATCTGGAAAATACAATCACAAATCTTTTAACCATGAAATTTAGAAATTATGTAGCCCAGCAAACATTTCGATCATATATAAAAACCAAGGTGTCGGGTTCCCAGAAAAGGAGGGAAAAAAGGCATGTAATAGTAAATAATTTTGTTAAAAAGTGAATTTTATATCCAGAAAACACAATCGTAGATCTTTTAACCCTAAGATTAAGAAATTATGAAGGTAGCAAAGGTTTCGATCACATATAAAGATCAAGTGGTTCAGTTCCCAGAAAAGGGGGAAAAAGGCATATAATTGTAAATAGTTTTCACAAAAATCAAAAATTTCAACTGGAAAATACAATTACGGATCTTTTAACCCTAAATTCAAAAATAGTGTAGGTTAGCAAAGATTTGGATCATATATAAAATCAAGATTCGGGTTCCCCCAAAAAAAAAAGTAAAAAAGACATATAATTAATGCAAATAATTTTGTCAAAAAAATGAATTTTACATCCAGAAAATACGATTACAGATATTGAAGCCCTAACGCTAAGGGGCGTTCCATCAGATAACAAAACTAAGGGATCTTGGGCCAGCAACAGTTAAATTATTCGGCCACAGTTGTGTATATATATTTACATATATAATATAAGAACAGTCTATGATAAGGTACAGGGCATTGACTCACGCTCTTCTCAACCGCTCAAACACAAGTCAAAAGGTAAAGACTGTCCAAATATCTTCATGATTTCTTTGAACAGAAGCGGACCAATGAATTCCGTAAAGCGAATTTTTATGGATTTGGCCTGACTTGATTAAAATACGGTTGTCTGACGAGTTAATTTGTAAGGGACAAGGCCTGGTTCCACCATTTCAGGATGGAGGAGGAGGAATGAATCCCATCGCATCAGGGGAAGAATGGAACTCGTACCGAATCGGCAGCCTGCTCACCTTGAGGGCGCCGGCGCCACCGCCGTAGGACCGGTACTGGATGGCCTTCATGGTGCTCTTCTCCTCCGCCATGCGTTCTTGGTGGGTAGGGACCGGAGATATCGAGAGCGAGAGTGATGGGTGGACGCTCGTTGCGCGCACCATTTTTATTGAGGCGACGAATCTGAAGGGACGCAACTCAAGACAGGGAACGCCGTTACTGTCCCAACCGTGGGCAGCGGGACCCACCCCACCGGGGCGTCGCGCCCCGGCAAGCGGATGTAATGGGGTGTACACCCTGGGTGGAACGAGACAGGAAATCCGCATCGTGCCCCGGCAAAAAGCATGAACCATTGTCTGATGACGCGGCGATCGTCCATTGGATTTCGGTAACGTACTCCGTCCACGACGCTGTGATAATAATTTAATATTTTAATTACTTTTAATAAAATAAAAATGACGAAGATATAATCTTATAATAATCTATCCAAGTCTTGATTAGATAAGCTAGTCAACATGGTTCATAATTTTCACTCAAATCATTATAATTTTTTCAATACATCGAAATTAATTCACAATTCATCGGTCATAATTTAAGTATTCCTAAATTTATAATTTATTTTGATAAATTATCATCCATTTCAAATCTATAATTTCATACTCCACTATTTGTTGTTCCTTATTTCCTCTAAATTTTAATTATACGTTGAAGAATATAAAGAATTGTTAATTGAGTGTGTTTGTAATTAAATCAAATATTTAAGTTAGGAATTGATTTTATTTCCTTACTGTTATTATAATTTAAGGAAATCTTAATCTACTTCCTTGTTTGTTGATATGAATTAAGGAAATAACTATTAAGTATTCCAAATATGATGATATCATATTTGTTAGTATATTAAATGTAAATAATTTATATTAAATAAATATGAAAATTAAAATAAAATTTTTCTTAATAGAGGCTCACCTTCTCCTATTTAAAGGGGAGGGATCTCTCTCCTTCGTTCCTCACCTAGTCGAGCCTAGCAGCGGGAGGAACGAGTAGTTACACCCTGTTGACAAGAGGTAGGTTTCCCTACCTTTCTTAAAAGTTTTAGCTTTTATTTTGATTCTTTAAATGTTGAAAGTTTTATAGTTTGAAAAATGTGTATCAATTCTTTAAATGTCAATTTTTTTGTATTAAAGTAATCAGTTAAAGTTTTCATAATATTCTTTAAACCATGATTAAGGTTTTTATTGTAGATTAAATATGTTAAAAAGGTATATGTTTTATATGATATATTTTCTGTATTACAGTTTATCTTTAATCTTATCTAGATTAAAATCTTGTTAGACTAGAATATGTTATCTAAAATCTTTTTTTTGATATTCTTTGATCTGAAATTTAAAATATATTATTCTGAATGATTTAAAATATGACTAGAATATGTTGAAATTTTATGTGTTGAAAACATGATTTTTATTTGAATTTAGAAAGCTATTTGCTTGTATTAAAACTTATCTCCTAGTCCCTCTTTTAATGTCTTACGATTTCTAGTCAAATTGAGAATGTTATTTATTTGTATTAAAGCTTTTCTCCTCATCTATCTTTTAATGATTTATGTTGTTAATGGATATATGCTATGACTAGTCCATGGGCCAGGGCTGGGCCAGTTTTATGTAATGCATGCTTAATCATGTATAATGCACATGACCAGTAAATGGACTGGCTCAATCTAACCCAATATTATTGTTGAACTTGAGCCCAAATATTGATTGAACTAAATTAGACTTGATTAGTCTAGATCAATTCAGGGTGATTCCGAATTGATTGACTTATTCAAGTTAGTTTAACCTAAATTGAACTTAATCTAGTCTAAATTATGCTAGTCTAGGGTGGTTCCAGACCAGTTAAATAAGGATTAGAGATCAGTTCAGTTAGGCTCTAGTAAATCGAGTTCAATTGAATCGATTAAACTAGAGTTCAAGTCAATTGAGGGCTAATTTATATTATTTGATATTGATGATATTTGAAAGAGATGTTTTAAATATGTTATTTCATCCCGAAATGGACATGACCAGTGTGAGATTATATTATTTTCCTGCCGAGAGCAGGTAGGGCGATTCCCTTCTGGGATTAGCGGGCCATCAGACGTGGCGGCTGGACGGTTCCTCCATCCGCTGTTGGGAGGAACGTGTCCCCACTTTGGCGGGTGTGGGACACCACTCCATCCGCTGTTGGGAGTGTGATATGAGTTTGCCTCCATCCGCTGTTGGGAGAACACAAACTCATCCTGTAGGATAAAGCCTCTCCATCCGTTGTTGGGGGAGTGCTCATTCGGGTACTTGATATATGCCAATGGGATGATTGATTGAATTTTGATCATGTATACATTTTGAGTTGACTTTTGGGGTTCCTACTCAGCGTTGCTGAATTTTCTTTGTTTTTGATTTTCAGAGCAGCCTCCCTCTAGTATTAAGTCGGATTCCAGTGGAGAGCGGACCTTCCTCTACCGCTAGGTAGAGCCACTTGGATGATTCTTGAAGTTAACATCACTATGTTTACCTTTTTATTTATGATTCGATGAATAAATGGATTGTAATAAATAAATTATAATAAATGTTTATGAATGATGAATAAAATGATGTTTATCTATTTGGCCTAAATGTGTGGAAAGATATATATATATATAAAATCTAGGATGTGACGGTGTTTGTGAATGAAATTTGTATGTAGTATGATTCATTCTAAGAATAATACTTTTTTAACTCAATAATAGTAAATTTATCCTAAACTTCTATCTCTAAATCGAGTATGTTAAAAAGGAACACTATTATTTTAGTAGTACTATTTTCTTGATTTTGGTATAATAAGGAAAATAATATTTTTTTGGATATAACCCTTCAATAAATAAATGACAACTTGAATAGATTAGAATAAACATCTTCACGTTATTTTGTCAAATTCTTTGACTCCAAATCATATCTTACCTACATAATTCATTCATTAATGATTCTTCTTCTTTTTCACGAAGAATATTACATTAGCCTTTTGAATAATTTATCGGGTGATTTTTCATTAAAAACTTATTTTTTCTATTAATATCCTTTCTTTTTTATTTTTGTCCATCACTTATATCGATATCGATTATTCATCATCTCTACTATCTATGCCTCAGGAACATCGCTCCACTCATCAATCACCTCGGTCCCTTACTCACATCATGGGGTATTTATGTTTATGTGTGATTTTCTTCGACCGTCGTGTTTATCATTTTCGATCACTTTTCATCGCCTATCATCTCCGTTGAAGCGATGTTATTTATAATTATATTTTTCTGGTCATTGTGTTTGTGTTTCTTCCTCTCTCTTTTTTCTCCTCTCTCATGTTAGCTTGAAGGTCACTGGTTTCAGCTTGAAGCTTAGAAAGAGGCAAAGGTGGTGGTGATCAAACACCATGTTCGCCGGAAAGGAGGCAAGCTGAGAACGTCCCACGAGCAGATGACTCATAAATGGCATATCCGGCGGATAACTCATAGAAGACAGGGAGCACCGATTTGGCGATGGGTCCCATGCCGAACGGACATATCAGGCGGCGTTGGGCTCCTGCGAGCGGATGCGACGGAGTACCTCGAAACATGCCTGACGACGCGACATCGTCTGGTCGAGGCAGGAAATCCGAGCCGTGGCATCAACTCAACCTCGAAACATGCGTGATGACGCGGCAGTCAGTCATTCGCCCACCAGACGATATCCTGCGACTTTGGAAAGCCATGCACGATGCTGCACATCAAATCAAACTACAGTGACAATATTCTCCGAATTATTTGACCCTCCCACCGAACATGATTTAAATATTCATAGAGTTTACGGCCTGCTTTGAGAAATTATCATTCACATGCAAACCTATGATTTCATATTCTACTATTAATAGTTCATCCTTTTTCCTCTAATTTCCTTTTTTGCATTGCAGAATAAAGAGAATTTGTCAGTCAATTATGCACACCATGTCAGAGGATCCGATCTGTCACGATCCTCAATATATATATATATATATATATATATATATATATATATATATATATATATATATATATATATATATATATATATA